GAGAGTGTGAAAAGCTCTGTGTTGCTAAAGTTCTTGGCTGGTTGGTGTAACTTGGTGACCCTGGTGGCCCTGCTGGAAGAGGACGTGCTCTGCCCAAAGAGGAAGAAACCATCAACCACCCGGGGGCTGCTCCAAACAAACCCGCTGTGTGACAACAGCCCGGTTGCCACGGCATGGCCAGCAGAGCGAGTCTTGGAAGGCAGAGTAATGCACCTCATCAACCTTCCACCTCCACGTCCCAAAGCCGCTCTCTCCCGTCGCACTGGCAGTCAGAGCCGGGCGCGTGGCAGTGAGAGACACCACTGAGTGGGCGGAGGGGAACCCCCCCTCCCCTGCTCTCCCTGCGCCCCATTTCTGAGCAACGCCCACATCACCCAGCCGCTCCTCCTGTGTCTCGCTATGAGGACCTGCAAAAACACCACCGAGGGTTAACTCCCGTCCCCCCTCATTTCAGAAATGATGAGCGCAAGCGGTTTGGGTTTTCCCATCTTTACTGCAGAATTTTTTCAGTGATTCAGACAGAGAGTTGAGGGATTTTATTGTCTCCCAGCTGAAAGGGCAGGGATGCTGCTGGCTTTCAGACACAGAGCTTTCGTAGAATCACAGAATGGTTTAGGTTGGAATGGACTTTAAAGATCTTCCAGTTCCACCCCCCTGCCCCGGGCAGGGACACCTCCCACCAGCCCAGGTTGCTCCAAGCCCCGTCCAACCTGGCCTTGAACACCTCCAGGGATGGGGCAGCCACAGCTCCTCTGGGCAACTTGCGCCAGGGGCTCACCTCCATGAGTGTGAAAAATTTCTTATTGATATCTATTCTAAATCTGCCCTCTTTCAGTTTAAAACCATTCCCCCTCATACCATCGCTCCCCTCCCTGAGAGGGTCCCTCTCCAGCTTTCCTGTAGCCCCTTTAGGGGCTGGAAGGGGCTCTAAGGTCTCCTCGGAGCCTTCTCTTCTCCATGCTGAACAACCCCAACTCTCTTCAGCCCCTCCTCACAGTAGAGGGGCTCCAGCGCTCGGACCATCTTCGTGGCCTCCTTTGGCCCCGCTCCAACAGGTTCATGTCTTTATATTGGGACCCCCTGAGCTGGAGGCAGCACTGCAGGGGGCTCTCCCCAGAGTGGAGCAAAGGCGCAGAATCTCCTCGTCCTGCTGGCCATGCTGCTGGGGATGCAGCCCGGGATGCCGTTGGTTATCAG